CTAATTATATATATTTACATCTGACCAATTATACCATTTTTTTCTCAGGAACTCATGAACTCTAGTGTATATTGCGTTTTTATATGTTCAAATTTGAATAATTTTAGTTCTTAATTAATCAAGTCTTTTATTATTTGCATCATAAACTAATGCTTTTATATAACTCTTTCAATAAAAAAAAATTAATTTTTAACATCATAGTGCTCCTATCACATTTTATATAAATAACCGAGAAATCTAGAACTTCTTAAATAAAACAAACAATTATTGGATCAATTGTGGTGGAATAGTGTCTTGGCCTCCAAGATCATCTAATCTTATACCAATCGATTTTTATTTATGAGATACATACGTACTCAACGGAATTTTAAAGTTGTTTTTTTTAAAAAAGCTTCATACGAAAAAAAGTTTATTTCAAAATTTCAACTTAATTTTTAACTAGGAATTGCTCTATACTCACATGTACCATATTTTCTATCTTGTATAAAAATAGATCATTGCTAAACATTAAGTAACAATATATTAAAATTAATACAATCGATAAATATGCATTTTGGATTACATCTCACCGATTTTGTCGCCATTTAGATATGTTATAGGGCAGATTGTTTTGAGTAATTTCCCGTAAGAATCAAATGGGGGACGGCATTGGTTTAGGAAATATAACAAATTAAAGTTTCACAATTTTAATGCTCTTCTTATGATATTATAAACTGACATTACGAATAGTGAAGTTTATATACGCCGTGTTTGTATACAAACGCGGTATGTAAAGTTTTTGTTTACATTTTTTAAAGAATAGCTACATAATCATAGATATTTTGTCAACAGTCAGTTTTACCTATTTCTCGTAGTTGATTAACAAATTTCAACATGCCGGTTATATTGCAGAGTTTCTTTTTAAACGAAAATTTCCATTTACAGAACGCATAGAAGTGTTTTTTTTTCTTTTATATCATGGCAAAACATTATCCGCCTTCACTATAATAAAAAGACAAATAAAATATTATCTTTATACATGTAGTTCATTACTTTTCCTTATTTCTTCTCATTTCTGATGAAAAATATTTATGGAACGTTGGCGGGGAAGGAGCGGAACCCATCTCCCTGCACCCTCACTCCAAAAAAATCTGACCTAACCTAACCCAAACCTTATTTCAATTAATTAATCAGAATTAGGTTTGGGTTAGGTTAGGTTACAGTCTTTTTGAAGTGAAGATGCAGAGAGAGGGGCTCTTCCACGCGTGAAAGTTGTAAACACTCTTTTAATTAAATAATAACAGATTATTCACTTCACTGTTCGTAATATCAATTTATAACATTTAAAGAAGCATTAAAATTGTGAAACTTTAATTTGTTATATCTCCTAAATTAATACCGTTTTCTATTTGATTTTTGCAGAGAATTACTCAGAATAACCTTCCCTACAACATATCTAAATGGCGACAAAATCGGTGAGGTGTAATCTAAAAAATGCATATTTACCATAAAATCATATAGAAAATCAATTTTTTGTCTGTATTCCCAGTACTTGTTCAAGTATTTTTCTGAGTGATTCTATAGCATGTGTATGTGTGTGTGTGTATGTGTATGGGTGTGTGAGTTTAATTAAATGTTGGAATTTTTCTACTGATGTATTATACTATCTAAGTGTTGTATGCTTTTTTATCAATACGATTTATAGAATACACTGCCAAATTTGACCAAACATTATAGGTACACCTTACATACTATTATATCTTTCTGCGTAAATAGAAAAAGATATGTCATTGACATTACGGCAACAACCGTATGTCATTTTAATAGCGCTAAAATGACGATCGTTTTCGTCATTACAATCGTTGTCTTCACTGCAAACATCAACATCACGTGAAATATATGACACAAAAAATGTGATTGAGTTTCTCGAATTTGAAAATATTTTAACGTGTTGAAAGAAAAATATCACGGTTTTATCACTTAGCTTACCCGTTCATAACGTTGTTTAATTTAAAATCAACACACAAAATGTAGAAGTAAATCTAGTATTTAACAATGTAGTTGTTATTAAAAACTCAAATTATTGTTAGCATTGAAAAACATGAAATAACATGCAATCTAACAATAAGCAAGATAATCTAGTCGTTGGGATATCTTTGGGATGAAGTTTTCGTATAATAACATTAGATGCTTTTCAACAAATAATATTAGGATGCTTTTCAACAAAAAAATATAGATCAACACTTCGTCACACAATTGAAAATAGTGTATAGTTATTTGATGGAATACCCTTTAATTTTCGACAAAGTCCCTAGTTCGTGTTAACATAGATTTTTTTATTCTTGATTTTAACTTTAAATTTACATTTACTTTTATCTTATTATTAAATATTAAAAAATTTATCTTGAATTTTAAATTGATATTTAATCAAAATTTTTTTACTCTCCTTTTATTTACTTAATATCTTATTAAAAATTGTTTGTAACATTTTTTTATTTTCTTATATTATTTTTTATATTTTAAATAAACATTAAAAAATTATTTTATTAAGCCACTACTAAAATTTTTATTTATTAATTGAGAGTTTGAGAAACATAGTGGTGTAAGTCAAAATTTTAATATTTTGAGTTAATCATATTTTCCAACTCTGAAAGTATCAATCTGTTTAATTTTATAGTGAATTAAGTCATAACTTCACTTTATTTGGTAAACAAACAGCACTTTGCACAAGAGTAGTTAATAAAGAGAACAAACTGTTTATGTATATATAGAATCATATTGCAAATCTGACTTACACCACTTTGTTTCTGAATAGTTGACTGTGATTGATGTTTGTCAATATGGTGTCTATCCTTGTTTATGTACGACGGTCTGTCTAGTTTATCCAATCAATAAAACTGTTTTATTTGGTAATTATTGTGTCTTCGACTTTTTCAATGAATCAAGATCACGGAGAGGTCAACCACATTTTACAGCCAAGCCAAGAAATATTTTTCAAACCTCAGAAACGTCAAAGGAATGAGTCTAAAACAGCTAGTGCAAAGAGGCTTCGTAATTCAGGCAAACCATATGTTAATAGTAAAGAGATATTGGTAGAAAATAAGAAATTTCAGAACACTGATTATAGATGCTCAGAAAATGTATCAAATCATTCACTGAAGATGAAAGACATGAACAATTTGAGAGTTTTCAACAAATGGCCGATTTTGGTAAACAGAATGCATATTTATGTAGTCTTGTGCAGCAGACGCCCGTTAAGCAAAGGCAGTCTCGGAATAAATCTAGAGGAAAGAAACAAAGCTCAAACTTATACACTATGCAAAAAGAAGGTAATATGGCCCAGGTTTGCAAAAAATTCTTTTTGGACACTTTTCTTGTAAGTGATGGAAAGTTGATTCTACAGAAAATAAAGAAAGGAAAGTCGCCAGCTGAAGATTTAAGGGGTAAACAGCATAGAAGATTACCCCCGAAACAATCAGTAAAAGATCATATAAACCTTTTCTCTGCATTTCAAAGCCATTACACTGGCCAAAACAATCTAAACAGGAAATATCTTAATCCTGAGCTAAACATTTTTAAAAAATGTAACTTTTTATCAAGAATGATGTGAGAAAAAATAAATTAATCCTGTTAAAGAGTATTTTTACAGACTTATCTTCAACAATGAATTTAATTTAATTTTTATATCCCCAGAAAAGATACTTGTAAATCATGTAATGAATATAAATAGTTGGTTGATGTAGAACAAAATCAGGAAAAGATTTGGAGCTTCAATATTCTTTGTATTTAGTAAAAGCAAAAAAAGTCCGATATAGTCTGTAATTAGATAGCCAAAAAACTAAAGAGAATGCTAACTTATACACTGTGACAATAGATTTACAAAAAGCCATTTCCAAAACTTAGTGTATCTGAGGCCTATTATAGGCGTAACATGTATTGCTACAATTTGGGCATACATGATGTTAGTAAAAATTTAGAGTACATGTATGTTTGGGATGAGACCATCACTAGGGGTTCGCAAGAGATATCTTCGAGATATCTTACAAAATATAATAAGCCGAACCAAAAAAAAACACATGGTTATTTATAGCGATATATGCACGGGGCAAATAGAAATATAAAGGTTTTGCTATCACTGTTGAAAGTAACTCAAGAAACGACTGTAAAAGTTATAAATTACAAGTTCATGGTTTGCGGCCACTTATTTCTTCCTAACGACTTAGATTTTGTCCTCATTGAGCTTACTTCTCAAAATAAGTCTATTTATGCTCTCGAAGATTGGTACAAAGAGATACAGACCGCTAGATGACACAACAAATTTATACTTGTGAAAATGCAACGGCACGACTTTGTACAAACTGATGCTCTTGAAAAAGCTATAACAAAACACAAAAAAGACGTTGAAGATCACAATATAAACTGATTAAAGATACAGTGATTTTGCTACGAAAAAGAAAAACCATTCTCGATCTTGTATAAATACACACTGAATGAAGACATGCTCTTCAGTGAGCTGAATATTACATCAAACAAAGAGGATCGACCAAAGAACTTGCGATCATCGTACAAAAAAAGAATAGCCTACGTGTGATAAATTACTTAAAGAAAAGAGATACGTTATATCTACTCAAGTACATCCCACCAGTCCACCATTCTTTCTTCAAGAATATCAGAAGTTCCCAAGAAGAAGAAGATCATAACCCACTGTCTGATGATGATGAAGAGGAGAAAGAACAGGAAGAAAACTGTGTGTAACATGTGTGTGTGTAAAAATGAATTATTGTGAAAATATGAACTTTATTTATGTGAATTTTTGTTTGTTTGTACTCATTATTTTCCTTTTAAAATTACAAATAATTATTTTTTCCATTTTTTTTTTAAACACAGACATATCTTAATGGTTTTCTGAGTCCTTAGACCTCTCATAATTTCTTAATAAAATGTATTGAGTTTTTTATGATAATAAACGCAAAAAACCTGTTTTTAAAAAATTGAAAATTTTAACTTACACTATGTTTCTCAGGCCCTCAATTAATTGATTAAATTTAGAAAATTTTTAGAAAATTAAAATTCTTTTATATGTTAATTTTCTATTCATTTAAAATTTTTTTATTTTAATTAAACACAATATATATCAATTTTTATTTTGTTAAATTCTAAAATTTTATATAACATATGTATTATTTATTTTATTAATTTTATCTAAATAATTACATTTAATTACATTCTAGCAGTTGGCATTAAATTTAATATAATTATAATATTATATATTTACTACAATTAATTAAGAAAAATTAGTTGTGATAAAGTTAGTACATTTAATTACATAATAAATAATTTTTTTATTAATTTAATATTAATCTAATTAATTAAATTAAAAAAAAAATAAAAATAAAAAAAGGGTCTACATTTCAACCATTAACATAAAACATTTTAATTACAAAACCGATAGCTATGATTTATTTTAACATAATATTTTTACACATATATTTTAATTCTACTGCTATGTACTTGTATCAACAGTGTACTATGCTATGCCGATTTATGTTTTTCGCAAAAAATATTAACAATTTAGTTAGATTCTGCCAAACTTCATAACAAGTACATACATGCAATATTGCTAGAAAATGCGAAAATAATGAGAAACATTTAAACACAATACAAATAAATTAGTATTACTATCGTGTTAGTATCGGGTTGAACCAAAAGTTTTTTCGAACGTCGTCAATATATAATATTGAAAATAATTTGGATTACCAATGATATTTGGAGCCTAACAAATTATAAGTATATGATTAATAGATACTTCCTTTCAGTAAATTAAACAAAACATCGCGCGAGCTAAATAATACTCGCATAGTTTGAGTGTGAACATAAAAGATGTGAAAGTGCATTTTTGCCATTATACACCATTATAAATATTATAATATAAATTGTTGGTCTTTTGACAAAAATTGTTGCTATTAAATTAAAATATCTTATGTCAGCCGCCATATTCTTCTGACATTGCAACTTTTGATTATTATTTATTTCAATTGTTTAAAATAATTTTAAAGAATAAGAAATTCATAATTTATAAACAAAGAAAATACTTATTAAATATAAAATAATAGAAATTTTTTATATTTTAAATGTTAATTTAATACAAGATAGTAAAATCAAGTCAAGTGACAAATAAAATTCAAGACAAAATTATAGAATTTCAAACTAACAATTAGTAGGTGATTAAAATAAATTTTGATACACTTTTCTATTTAAAAACAACTTTTTGTGCACGTAATTTTTAAAACTTCGAACTTTTAGAAAGAATATTAATAACTTTATTTAAAATAAATTTTCATAAAAAAGCAAACTTTTAGCGTCAATCTAACTATTTAATTTCTTGTTAAATTTAATTATATATTATTATTTAATATTTGAGTTTCATTTCTGGCTTAAAATTCGAACAAATTTTTGGTTTAACCCAATGTTTTCCAGACACTTTCTGAGCGGTTCGTAAAGATTATAATTGCAATAACATTTCACATCCATCTAATTTAATCTATGTAATTTGACCGATAAGGAAAAAAATCTCGAAACTGTCTGGACGGTAAATCTTTGATGTACAAACAATTGCAAAATAAGTACTCGAAATCCTTGGTGAACCATCGAATCCGGAATCATTGCTCCTTGTCGAGTTCATTCTCTTGTGTTCAGCATCATCATCCAGCTCAGTACAAGTTGAACCGCTGCCGTCCGTGCTCTCATTTGTGGCGGTGCTCGTTGTACTTCCGGTGCTGTCGCTACTGACAGAAGGCGTCCTCGAATGATGCCGTCGCCTCTTGATTTTTGCCCGTCTAACTTTGGAGAGATCACGCGGCGTCGCAGTGAGCAACGCCGACGGTGTCGTGTAGAACATCCTGATGAGATCAAGCGGTCGCTGCGACGGAGAGTTCCTTGGGCTGGACTTGGGTGACGTTTTCGTCGAAGGTTTTGCCAAAAGTTGCTTCTCGGATTTGTGTGTATTCTGTTGATTCGTTATTGATTCATTGCTGTGAGCCTCCTTCGTCTCTCTGTTATTCTTTATTGGCGGCGACGACGTCTTCTTGGTTGATAATTTCTTTTTGATCGTGCGCTTTATCTTTGAGGATTGCGGACTGAGACTGGGGCTAGTAGTCAAGCTGGTCTCCTCCGATACAACCGGAGTTTCCACGTCGTCGGCGTTTGTCAAATCGTCCTGATTGCACTGCGAAATTTTCCCAGTCAAGGAAGGAGCGGGTAGTAACTCGTTCGTTGGTGTACTAGGATCTTCGTGTTCCTCATCAATGTTGCAATTTTCGGATTTTTCCGACAACTTAGATACTTCGATTATATTTATGATCGGCACAGTGATTTCAGGTATCAAAAAAGATATTTTTGAATCTGTCAAATCAGATTGTATTGAATTAATAGAATTGTCACGCTTCAACGGTGCCTTTTTCACAGTCGAGTTCGAATTCTTTGCACCAATCACTATCGAAAGATTTTTCTTCTTGGGCGCTGTTTTTTGCACCAGTGTGCAGTTCTTTTCTTTCGCGGCTTCCGCTTTCTTCGCTCCCAGATTTTCCAGAACAATTTTTCCTTCCTTTCTCTCGCCTTCAATGACTGCTGGACCGCTAGATGTCGCGACATTTATTTTAACACTGACATCATTTTTCTCGCTATCGGATTCTTTCACCGGTGAATCGTCAAATACTCGTTTCGGTATCGTTAAATTTGTCTTTTGTTCAATTTTGAAATCAATCATCGTCGCTTCGGGACTCTCTGGTGCTTTAATCTCATTCCAAAAATCGATAGATTCGGTGGAGGCACTCTTTGATAATTGTCCGTCCTCCAGCGGCGATTTCTCACAACTTGCGTTAATCGTTAGCTTCTCTTCCATCACTTTATTTAAAGGCTTCAACGACTTTAACGTTTTCTTAATAGGTGTAATCTTGTCTTTTCCATTGGCAAAGGCGAGTTGTTGTGAAACTATAAGATTGTTCGGATTGCTCAAACTCGATGAGCACTCATTAGTCGGCTTCAAGGAATCAACAGAGATATTTTTCTTCAAGATTCTTGGTGCATTGATGTCTTTTTTATGAAGAGACGTCAGTTTGCCATCGTCGACTTCTACAATTTTAGATACGCCCAAATTTTTACCGACTTTTTTCAAATCTGTCGCGTTGCTGGCTTCATTCATAGCTGTTTTTGATTGCAAAGTTTTCACTTTAGATTCTGCACTATTAAGCTTCGCCGTTTTGCTCGTAAAACTAGATAACTCGGAGTCTCTTGACGTATCCTTTCTCAAGTCGACGCCATTAATTTTCTTGATGTCAGCTTTGAGTAGTTTTGATTCTTTTGGTACGTCGGCTGATGTCTCAATGTTTATTTCCATCTTTTCCAAAGAAACAGATGGTTGTAAAGATAAATCATATGATGTATTTTCATTAGGTTTCCCCACATTGTTTCTTGATGCTTTCTTTAAATCGATATCTTTTTTCATTTCTTCATTATGGTCGTTAATACGCACTTCGCAGTTTGTTTCCTTGAGCAAGGTCATTTTTTTAATCTCTAACTTGGCCGCGTTATTGCGTTGAGACGCGTCAATTTTGAAGGTTGATTTATTATCCGTGTCTACGCCATTGGCTTTCTTCAGAGAGTCAGTGGAAGGAACTTGGGCCAAATTCAATGCTTTGTTTGCCTTCTTTCCCGGTAACACGGCAGCTCTGACTACGTCCTCGGCACTTTTCGGCGAGTTTGCCAGATACTCCGTCGTCTCTCGTAACGAAAGCTCTGGCGCTTCTACGGCATTATTTCTATCCACATTAATTTTAGATGCTTTTGGCAGACGACAAGCCGCACTGTTAAGCACGAGCATCGCGCTATTCGTGTTGTTTTTATCAGCGTTATTGCCATCTTCAATCGAAATATCGCGATTCTGCGATACCGTCAAAAATTTCAATCTGTTTTTCTCCTCCACAAATTTGTCCATTTTTGAAGCTACCAAATTTTTGTTAATCAAAAATTCTGCTGTTTTGGTACTAGAAGAGACTTCTAGACTTGTTTTCATGGAGTCAACCGCACTGTCATTCTGTTGACCTCTATCCTTCTTTGTACGTGTAACGAAAGTATCTTTCAATAATGACAACTGTTTGATTTGCATGTTGTTTTGTTGCGCATTTGTCGAAACAAATGCTGAAGTACTTGATTGCATAAGATTCGTCTCGATATTTTTTGAGGAATTGTCTTCAGCATCGATGTTTTGTACGTCACTTTTTGTTCTTGAGACAATGTCTTGTTTATTTCGTGAATTTTCATTTGATAAAAAAGAAACATCTTTCTTTACCAAAGATTCTATTTCATCTGCAATCTTCTCTAAAGCTGTATCCTTAATTCCGTTCAATTCTGACAAATTTTTGCCTGTTAAACTCTCCAATGTATCATTCTTAAAATTATCTGTCGCATAGACGAAGCCATTTATTATGCTTACTTGACTTTCGTCGTTCTTTGCGTCAAGTTTTTCAAGTTCTTCGAGTTTCTCATCGAGTTTCTCCGTAGGCTTTCTCATCGTTAAGTACACACTATTGCTCGACGAATCCTTTACATAAGGTTTTTTCACAGACAACACTATCTGCGTCTCCGCTTCGTCCGCGCTCCTCGGAGACGCACTGCCATTTTGAATTTCACCTTTAAACTCGTCAACTGTTGTCGATTTGCACTTTTCGTTTTCGACATTTGCATTCACCCAAATCGTAGAAAAATCACCGGCACTATTACAGGCCTCAATTTTAAACATCTGTGGCTTCACCTCATTTTCTATTCGCGAATCGGTGGATGTGTCGCTACAGGTGCTCGATCGTCTGTTATCGAGAACATCGTCTGTGATCTTATCAACGATCGACTTTTTCTTCTTCCTTGCTTTCTTCATAGCTTTCTTCATCCTTGTTGCGACCGCTTCCTCCTCTTCATGCGTCATCGTGTCGGAATCAGCGCTGTTTACACAGTAAGAACAGTTGATCGTCGTGCCCTTCCTGATTAGAGTACCACAACGGGTCTCATTCTCAATTTGTGCTTGCTCTTCGGCCACAAGGTTGTCCAAAACTTTTGCTTGTACCTGCGCGTAAGTGGCCTCGCGCCGCAGCTGTTCAGGGTCGAGGTCAGTGGAGGATCGACGTCGCGTAAATCTACGTGTGACTCGCTTCTGCAGAGCTTCCCGCTCTAGAGGCTCACTTTTCTCGTCGCAATCCAAGTTGATTTGATGATATAAACGCACCTGTTGATTTTTATCATCGCTCAACTTTTTATCCTTAATCAAGAATTTCTCCATGAGAAGCTCGCCCACCGACTTCTCATGTTTCTCATTGTGTTTTCGTAACGCAGGATTGTCCTTCAAAGCCTGCGATCTGATCTTGATGGTAGGCCGGTCACGACGCAAGCGATTCCTGGGACGATGTCCGTCGTGTGATAGAATCCTTGGTGTCGAAACATCGATGTCCGCTGTGTCGATCACTCGTCTCGTGTGCCTCATAGAAATCGGTGAGAAACGATGCAGATGATTGAGCGGAGACTCCGAGATCGTCGACAAATGTGGTGCAAAACGTGGCAACGGAAGGTGGAAGGGTGTTCTGTATGAACATTATGATATTTTGTTTGGCATCGCCACCGTAAAATATGCATTTTGTTAAACTTATTTTTATTTTGGCGGATATTTTTCTCGCGGAACCTTCGACGAATATCTTTTGTAAACAACGCGGGTATTTAAGTTAAGATTATATCACACACAAAACCGATCGTTAGAAACTTTGAGCTTTAATACCAATGCTATTACTTGAAGAAACATTATTATCAGCATACAATTCGTTAATTTGTCGCGCAATTGTATACAATAACATATTTTAAGAATAAAAGTAAAATTTGTGACAAAATACGACGATTAACTCTTTTATTGTTAAAAAATAAAAATTTTATTATTAAAAATAATTTATTTATATAAAAAGATCAATTAAATTTATTTAAAGATTAATTTATTTAAAGTATGGAAATATTTTGAAATATTAAATTCAAACTTACAGTAAAAATTTTGTAATTCTAAATTATGGACACAATGTGATAATTATTATAGAAATTCGAAAAATAAATTTTATATAAAACTTTTCAGAGTTTCAAAAATCTTTTATTTACAGATTAAGATGTAAATTTTATAATTTATAAAACAGAACATAAAATCTAAGATGAAATATGATTAAATGCAAAAATTTTCTTTAGAAAAATATTTTTGCAAATTTCTAAATTTTTCTACAAGTTTGATGTGTTAGGTTTGAATTCAAAGACTATGAAATTCCTTAAAAATCAAGTTTGAAGAGAGTAGAATAATTTTTCAAATTTGTTTGCTATATTAGATCTACCATATTAAATTCAAAAATTTTGACAAGAAATTTAAATTGAATAATCCCAAAAATCTACGAATATTATGTTTTAAAAAATGTTATAAATAAAAACCATTTTTTAAATTAAAAACTAACCATCAGTCTTTATAACGCATATATGTATCATTAATACTTAAAAGATTTTAAAAATATATACATTTAAATCTTAATAAATTGCCTATTGGAACATGGAGGCGTAGTTTATTTAATATAGCGTAGAATAAATTACAAATTCAAATAAAATACATTCTACGAAGTGTAATAAATAAGAAAATATTAAAAATGAATTAAATATTAAATAATTAATATCAATTTTTTTGAGATTTCTAAAAAAATTTTCTATATAAACGCAGCATGCGTTTGCTTTTGAAAAGTTAAAAAAATATAAATTTTTATGAAATTTACTTTTATAACCATAAACTAAGCAAGCAACTTTTTAATTGTGAAATAATATTACTTTCCATTATATTATTTTTTATAATTAAAAAAGGAAATCAGTATACTGTACAATTTCTTCAGAGAAGTGTAATCTAATTATAGTTTTAAATCTTGCCGTCAGATGTCATATTGTTTTATGTCAGATCCTAATGCCCTAACTAGACCGGAGGATAATCCTACTTGTGGCTTATCTGAGTGCATAGGTTGACAGGTTAAACTTATATTAAAGTTGACTTCCAATCGTATTAACCATATCAAATAATTATTTTTATCCAATTAAATCGATTCGGTCGGTCTGTTTATGCACTCAAACTATGCACTCGAATGAGCCACAAGTAGGATCATCTCTGGTCTAGTTAGGGCATAATGGTTGACGTTTCGTTCATCTGATAACTCGCACGCACATGTAATATGTTCGTATCGATTGATGAGCCCTTCGATCGATTACCGCGTATTTGCTCTAACGTCAAATGCTTATTTTCATTCCTCATTACGTTGCAGAACAAAAATATTTCATGAACACTTGTTAGGTAGTGGAAAACAAGCATGGCTGATTTGAAGATGCGTATGATCATTTAACGTATAAATTGATGTTATTTCGATAACGTGCTCTAGAAAAAATTTTTGGTAATTACACACATAAAATCGAAAAATTTGTGATCCATATTTTATTATTTTTATTTATAAACTATTAGTATGTAAAAAATATTTTGTGTAATTTTATATATAAAATATATATGTTATCGTCAAAGCCCGAAAGATCGGCAATCCTAAGATTGCCTAGGCAAAGTTAAAATTGTTAAGAGCGTTTAAGGCAATGTTCGAAATAAAACCTTTATTTATTATTTATTATTTATTTTTTATAAACCACTTTAAGCAATTTTAAGGTTACCTAAATTGTTTTCAGGCAAATTCCGAAATAAAGTTTCATTTCAGACATTGCTTAAAACTTGATAATTTTAACTAGTTAGAGTTACCGATCCTTCGGGCTTTGCCGGTATATGTATACGTATTATATGTATACAAAAATTGGACGAAAAAAATATTGTGAAATTTTAAAGTTTCTTCTAAAGAAATACATTGAAATAGCATCAATTTATACATTTTGTATACAAATTTTACAATTAACACAATTTACACATTTCATCCGTTTCAGAATAATTTTTTGCAGAAAAAAGGATAATATTGCTCTAAAGTATTTTAAAATAATAATACAAGTAAAAACAATGTAATTTGATCAAAATGCTTTCCAGCATATATGTACATATCTTTATATATTAAACAAAATTATTTTAGACAAAATAAAATGTACTAATACTATTTTTATTCAATAAAAATATATTTGAAATATATGCGCAATTTTTATTTTGCAAAACACGCTAATTACGAATTTAGTAAGTAATTTAGTAAGTAGTTTCTTCTTTTTGTTTTCCTATATCACAATAATTAAATTTAAATTATTTTTTCTCTCTTTCCCCTTCTTCTATTTCTCCATTTCTTCCTTACTGTTTGTTCTCTCAAATTATTTAATTGTAATGCTATCGTGTAAATAACTGACTCAATGAAAAATATATTGATCATACAAATCGCAAATTCTTGCCAAAACTATTGATGTGAAAGATAAACGAGGGAAAAATTTGCCTGTCGTTATTATAGCGATTCTGTGTATTTTGCATTTTATTGTAATCATATTTCTGAAATATTCTCAATCGTTTTACGATAACATTTTCGACAAGTTTTCGATATATGTCTAACGGTTTTGCGAAAAATTTCCACCAATCAATTTCCAAAATATTATAAAGGAACATATAAGATAAAAAATAAAATAAAATTTATTAATTTCTATTATTTATCAACTTCTATATTAAACAACATAAAAGTAAAAATTTTAAAAATTGTTTTCTAGTAGACTAAATTTTGGATCTAAACAACAATGTTACGACATTTTGTGTGTGATTGCGCTATAATAAAACACTGATTTATTCTTACCGTCCCGTGCCCGTCATTAACGAACTGTGATTTGCGTAAGCTCCTCCTCCATAGTAAAACGGGACATCATTGTAGTACGGCATTTTTACACTTTATTTTTTTTAATTACAAAGCATTAATAGTAACGCTCGACAATACAACAACGGGAGTAACGACGACGAACGTAAGAAACGCAATTGATCGACTGACTGCGTTGCGTTTTTAGCAGCGACGGACCGACTACGATGACGAACTCACGGCAGCTCTCAGGTGTGTCGAAAAGTAAAAGCGGTTCTCACGGTTCAGGGAGCCAAAACCGACTGAGTTTAAGCCGGCGACCCGGTGTAATAATAGAATTCTAGTATATGAGGCTTCCTAACGCGTCTAAGTATACTACCCGAACTTTAATAAGCCGCGCACGCACGGCGGCTATTACAGCTGGTAATTGCCAAAGAATGCGGAACAAGATAAACTATCTGTCTCTTTAAAACATCAAGTATATAATATTCATAGTATAAAAAATTAAACATTTTTTAGTTGCTAGAAAAAGAAAAATTATTTTGTGAGTTATACTTATTCTCCAAATTTTTTGTGCGTTGAATCCAAATCTGACTTCAAAGAGTGTATATTGCAGAATTTTAAGAAAATCGAAGAAAAACATATTAAAGTAATCATTTTTGTCACGTTATTCCAAAAAAAATTGATTTTATTTTTAATAACTATTAATAAAAAAAGTTTTTGCTTCTTACTTTATATATATCTTTTGTATAAAATATAAAACAATTTTCTATTTTTGTAGTAATAATGTGTATAATTTCTTATTCTCACTTGACACCATTTTCTAACACTATATTTTTTATAGCATAATACAAATAATATATACAATAGTTTTTTTAATAAATAAAATATATGATAGCTTTTTTCTAAAATAAAATTTTTTTCTAAGAAAAAATATAATAATAAATAACTAGACATAAAAACCTATAGAATTTTTCCATAGATTTTCTATAAAAAAAAGATACAAAAAAGCGCCAAGTACACATGTTACTAAAACAGTGTTGTTTACATGTCCATAAAAACCTATAGAATTTTTCTAACAACACTGTTTTAGTAATCGCATGTACTTGTGAATCGTTTTTGTACCTTTTTTTAAAAAGATAATTTTTTATAGATATTATGCCTTTTTTAAGTCTATAAGAAATTGTGTAACTTTAATTGTTGTCTCTTATATCTTGTTATTAAATTGGTTTACAAATCTGTAATATTAATAAAACTTCTAAAAAAATTAATATTTTATCCGTTTGCCAATTTATATCATACTGCTTTTTGACATCCCCCATAGCAAAAAAAACCCAGTGACATCACAATAGACTCACAATGACTATTGTATTACTGGGACTTTTTTTGCTATAGAAATAGAACCATTGTTATGGTGAAAGAAAGTAATGATCCATTCCAGATTTCCCGATCAGTGAATTATTATTATTGTTAAAAATTGTCAAATGTTAAAATTTCTACAAGTACTCTAATCTTTTGAAATATACAGGGTGTTCCACTAAAAGTGGTCATCCCCTTTTATCTTTTAAATTAAAAGAGATAGACCATAACAAATATATCAAATATATCAAATTAAATGGTTCAAACTGAACTCTATTGTGAGCATAATAGTTGCTTACAAAAGCTATTTGTGTTAACAAACGGAGAGGTATGCATAATTTTTTTATAATAATTTTTATAATAATGCAGATATTTTAATGTAAGTAAAATTGTAGCGCTGTTTGAAAAGAATACAACGATGTATGATTTAATATAAATATTTATATATTATACGAGTTTTATCGGCTTGAAATATCGCGGACGTCGTCTACCTTTTCACTTTCGGCTCTGCGATATGGCAAACTTCAATAATTAATTAATAATTAACAGCGCTACAATTGACATACGTCAATTTCTAACGCACGAGTCACATGTTGGCCATATCGCAGGGCCGAAAGTGAAAAGGTAGACGTCGCCCACGATATTTCAAGTCGATAAAACTCGTATAATATGTAAAATATTTAAATTTAATTCATACATCGTTGTATTCTTTTCAAACAGCGCTACAATTTTTCTTACATTAAAATATCCACATTATTATAAAAAAATTATGCATACCTCTCCATTCATTAACACAAATAGCTTTTGTAAGCAACTATTATGCTCACAATAAAGTTCAGTTTGAACCATTTAATTTGATATATATTTGTTATAGTCTATCTCTTTTAATTTAAAAGATAAAAGGGAGTGACCACTTTGGTGGGACACCTTATATCAGTTATACAGGATACCCTAAAATTAGATTGACAAACTTCAGATGGTTACAAAGGACACCAAAACAATTTTATCAATAAATCCGTGTCTGCAAATTTTTTGAACCGTTTTAGCACTAAAATGGTTTTTGAAGTGAAGTATATTTTTGCAGCAGTATGAAGTATATTTTGTTCAAAATGGCAGTTATTTACTTCCATACAAAGATTGCATCGTCGGATGCAATCCAACTCATTCATGGATTTACGGACCCATGGAATATTCTCAGAACAGCTTGCACATGTGCGCAAGCGGCCATCACTCTCGCTAGATCTTCCTCTCCAAGTACAGGAGTCTCGTACACCAGAGATTTCACATAACCCCAAAGGAAAAAGTCAAAAAGAGTAAGATCAAGAGATCGCGCAGGTCAAGCTACAGAACCTCCTCTTCCAATTCAGCGGTTCGAAAAATTCAGATCCAGATATTCGCACACATCCAAAATGAAACGTGGAGATACACCGTCATATTGCAACCACATGTCTCATCGTACGTTCAAAAGGATATCTTCTAAAAGATCTGGTAGAACATATTGCAGGAATTGGAGATAAATATAAGCATTTAAATGAGGTGGCAGCAAGTATGAACCAATCAAATTATCGCCGATAATATCGGCCCAAATGTTGATGGCAAACTGGCATTAGTCCAAAAGTAGCATGAGGATTTTCATCAGCCCAGATGTGGCTGTTGCGACTATTGAAGAAACCATTCCGAATGAAACATGTCTCATCCGTGAACTATACGTTTCTGCCGAAGTCAGGCTGCACTCAAAAATCAACGGAAGAAAACGATTCGAAAGTGATAGTCTCATCGGCAGGACTTATCGCTTGCACTCTTTGGTTATGGTAGGGATGAACTTGTTGGTCATAAGAAACACGCCATACCGTCGACTTAGCAGCCCCCATGTGACGTGCAATTGCGCGAACACTTGTGGAAGTTCTTGCTTGCGGTTCAGGACTTCTTCATATGCTGCAATGCGTGTTTCTTTTGGACAATCGCACCATCAGTGCGCATCAGGTTGCCAACTTCTCGAAAACGACGATGAACGGACGCAAAGATAGTATGATGAAGATGATGACGATGAGGATATCTCTCTTTATACAAGCGTGCAGCTTCTCCATTACATCTAGCTTCTCCATAAATCAGATACACATGGACCAGTTCTTCATAAGAAAACTTGTCCATTTTTTAAAACAAATTTCAACCTAACAATGATAAATACTAAGTGTGACGTGGAATGAATACTGAATACTGTGATACTGAGCTTAGTCAACAATGTCTTATTGTTAATCAAACAATGTCTTAGTCTTTAATTCTCTAGTGCCAAAATGGCAAATCATTTGGCACATTCGGACATGGGTTTATTGATAAAATTGGTTTGTTTTGGTGTCTTTTATAACCTAACCTGAAGTTTGTTGGTCTAATTTTGGGACATCCTTTGTGTGTATACAGTGTGTTTCATTTTAATCTAGCCAGGCGAATATTTCAAACGCTGTTGAGTTTGGAGAAAAATGTTTCAGATAAAAGTTGTAGGGTTCGGAGGGGAACACAAGATGGTGGGCTTGAGTTTTTGATGAAGGTAAAATTGAAGGTCATATGAAGGTCAACTTTGTTTTTTTAAATGAAATGTAGTATTTTTCATTGCATATTCTGAAAAAACATTAAAATTCTGCATTAAAATTGTCTGACACGTTTTTCATGAAAATCCATAATTTTTGAAGAAATTTAGCAATTAAAAAAAAATGTTTGTTTTTCGTAAAGAGAATCATGCATCAATTTGTACATGTTTATGAACATTTCTCGTTCTTAGAGTTACCCGGAATCAACGGCGTGGACGTGACGAAAATTTGATTCCATCGGAGTGCTTGATTTACGTGAGTCCCCTTGCCTCTCACGCACGCGCGCGCGCGTGTGTGTATGTGTGTATGTGTGTGTGGGTGTGTGTGTTTGTTCAAATGTCATGTTCAAATTGAGCACCATTCTCTGCGATGCAAGCATCTACTCTGGTTTGGAAGAAATTGGTTGCTCGAAGAATTTCATCATTACTTAAAGATTGAATTGTTTCTCTTATCCTACGAATCATATCATCCCTTGTAGTTAGACATTTACGGTACACCAAGTCTTTTACCCTTCCTCACAAATAATAATCTAGGATAGTAAAGTCCGGTGATCGAAGTGGATAATTGATCGGACCGTATTTGCCTATCCACTTATTGGGAAACATAGTATTTAGAGCTGCACGGGCAACTCTTGATGTATGCGACGGGCATCTATCTTGTTGGAACCACATATCCAGGCGCAATCGCAGAGATAGATTTTCTAATAAGACAGGAAGATCTGTCTTTATCAAGGCTGAATACCTATTACCGTTTAAATTTTCTTCAAAGAAGATAGGACCTACGATCTGACTACCAATAATGCCGCACCAAACATTCACCTTCCAAATATGTTGATGATCCATTTCTCTCAACCAGTGAGGATTAACTTGCGACCAATAACAACAGTTCCACGTATTGACACATCCACAAAAATGTTTAGGCGGGAATAGTTGGACAGCACATAATAGGGCTATTCTTCATTGATGGAAATCTAACAGCACAAAAGTATGAGGCCATGCTCCGAGACGATATTATACCAATTCTTCGCAACATTTTCGATCCAGATTTTGATTCAGTTTGGTTTCAGCAGGACGATGCCCCTCCACATTTTAGATTACAAGTGCGGAATTTTTTAAACAACGCTTTTCCTGAAAGATGGATAGGAAGGAGAGACGCAATCGAGGGGCCACCCAGGTCACCTGACCTGTCTCCCCTAGACTTTTTCTTCTGGGATTATTTAAAAGACCGAATGTACAGAATTAAACCTCAAAGTCTTAATGACTTGCAACTACGAATTATCGACAAAGTGGCATTAATTACCACCGAAATATTACAAAACATTACAACTAGTTTTTACAAT